TATATATATATATATGCATTATAAAATATTTTATTATATATTTTTTATATTAAAATAAAAATGTATTATGATTACTATTATTATATGATTTGTATTGTTATTATTAAAAAAAAAACATTTTTATATTATTATTATTATTGTAGTAGTAGTTTTTTTATTTTATTTAATTTAAGTCATAATATAGTTTTGCATGACAATCTCCTTTCTTCTCTGCCCCTGCACGTGTCACCCGGCACTTTTCTAGTGTGCACACTCGTAAAACACGCTGTCAGTCAGTAATGCAATACATGTCTTACTAACCAGTGTTCATGTGTGCATGTTACACTGTATCTGACCAGCATTGAGCAGCAGCCAGTGAAACTGCAAAACAGACTGCGAGAGCAGAAATAAAAACGGCTTTGCTCCCTTCCTTAGCAGAATAGAAGAGACAAGCTGCCCAAAATCTCCCCAAATACTTTCCTCAGTTTCCTCCAGATGCTGGAGCTTTTAAAGCGGATGTGTATGAGACTATAAACCACGTGTTCAGCAAATTACCCTTCTCTTCAGATGAAAACTGACTGGAGGAAAGGCCATATATGCTTATTTCTTTGCAGTTTTATGAATTTTTTGATGAGTTTCGTAATGCAGCAGCAATGCACAAAATCAAGCGTTAACCAGCTTAACCCTTCTATCGCATTCCATTCAGTTTCACTCTGAAGCAGCTCATAATTTCTAAAAAAATCCATAGTTTTTAGTACAGGAAAAATGTTGCATATGGATTAAGACTATCAAAATACACATTTATTTTTTTTACAGATTTAAAAAAATATTTCTTAAGGTGTATAACTATGTGAACTGAATTGTTACATCTCTGGAGTTCAGATCAGTTTTGACTGGGAAGCGGTTCATCATTTCTAAAAAAAAATCCATAGTTTTGAGTACGAAGAAAAACTCTGCATATGGATTAAGACTATCAAAATACATTTTATTTATTAATTTTTTTTTTTTTTTTTTTTTTTCAGAAAACAAGACAATATCTTAAGTCATTTTACTTGTCAAGTAAATGCATCCTGAATCAAGAATTTGTAGATATTTATACTAGAAAACAAGACAAAAATACTACAAAAGAAAATCTTTTTTTTTTTTTTGCATTATTCTGACAGAATTTCAAGATGACACAACTGTTTTGATATCATAATGAGGAAAAAATCCTCATTGCAAAAATTAAACTCTTGAAAAGAAAACCTTAAGTAGGTTGCCATATTCTTCTAGTATTGTTTCTTAAAAATATACAGGTGCATCTCTTATTTTTTTTTTTTTTTTTTTTTTTTTCAGATTTAAAAAAAATAAGTTTTAAGCGGTATAACCATTTAAACTAAATTGTTACATCTTTGGAGCCAGACGCGGTGCATAAAAATGTCTAAAAAATCCATAGTTTAGTACGGGGGAAAAAATTGCATTTGGATTAAGGCTACCAAAATACATTTTATTTATTTTTTATTTTTTTTCCAGATTTTAAAAAATATTTTTTAAGAGGTATAACCATTTAAACTAAATTGTTACATCTTTGGAGCCAGACGCGGTGCATAAAAATGTCTAAAAAATCCATAGTTTAGTACGGGGGAAAAAATTGCATTTGGATTAAGGCTACCAAAATACATTTTATTTATTTATTTTTTTTTTCCAGATTTTAAAAAATATTTTTTAAGAGGTATAACCATTTAAACTAAATTGTTACATCTTTGGAATTCGGGTCAGTTTTGACCCCAAAAAGGATTACATAAAAATGTCTAAAAAATCCATAGTTTTTAGTACGGGAAAAAAAAGAACTGCATATGGATGAAGACTATCAAAATATGCATCATTTATTTTTTTCAGATTTTTTAAATAATTAAGATATATAACCATTTAAACTAAATTGTTACATCTTTGGAGCCTGAAGCGGTACATAAAAATGTCTAAAAAATCCATAGTTTTTAGTACGGGAAAAAAAAATTGCATATGGATTAAGGCTACCAAAATACACTTTATTTATTAATTTTTTTTATAAATTTTTTTTTTTTTCCCCAGATTTTAAAAAATATTTTTTAAGAGGTATAACCATATAAACTAAATTGTTACATCTTTGAAATTCGGGTCAGTTTTGACCCCAAAAAGGGTTATATAAAAATGTACGGGGAAAAAATAAATGCATATGGATTAAGACTATCAAAATATGCATTTATTTTTTTCAGATTTTTAAAATAGTTTTTAAGATATATAACCATTTAAAGTAAATTGTCACATCTTTGGAATTCGGGTCAGTTTTGGCCCAGAAGTGAACTGTGGCTTTACACGTGAATTTATGCTGCTTTTTTGTTCGTTTTACACATGTATTAGTTAGAATTTGTCTTGAATTACTTCTGTAAAATACATTTTGTGCCTCTTTCCCGAATGTCACACACACTTCGAGGAATTTTGATGGTAAATTTAAATATGCTCGGCATGCACAAAAACACCGTAAACGGACAAAAGATGTAACTGACATGACAAATTAACTCTATCTAATGAACTACACGATGTAGGTCAAAAGTACAAAGAACAAATAGTCTAGATTTGAAAGCTGCCACCTATTGATGAAGCGCGGTCGATCGTCTTTTCATCCGAAGGTGAAACTTCATGCAACTGAAATAAATCTATTTAATTTGAAAACATTCCAGAGTGACATTTATGTTGCTTTGATGTTGTTTTGATTACATTATAAAAAAGAATATGTCGATTTCAACAGTTTTTGATCAATTGAATTCATTTAATACTAATAATTATCAGTTTATCTGTTCTTATAAATTTCATATAATGAGATATTGAAATAACATTTCTCAGGAATGCTGCAAAAAAAAGATATTGTATCTCACGTCACAGTTGTTTTGCGACTAGTTCTTGTAAAATTTGAAATTTCATAGAATTTGTCAATTTTTTAAATGGACAACAAGGGGTTAAAATGTAGTAGCAGCATAGTAAAACATGGTAGCATTCAGAGGTTTGACATTTTTGCACTTTCACTCATTAATGAGAAGTTAATGATACAAATACAATATGGTGTTCGTTGAAAAATATGAAGTTATGACTGTTTAATAAGCTCGGGTCAAAAATGACCCGGGAACATGTGAAAAGAGTCTAATGCGATTTAAGGGTTAAATAGGCTTTTCCAGCAGTCAGAGATGTACATTTATCCGTCTGTCTCTCAGAGCGAGGTAGTCTGCAGTTTCTCTCAGCTGAGGTGCAGGAAAACTGTAGTTCAGGGATTTGAGCGACAGGAAGTGGCTGCTGCGACCTGGACGCACAGGAAGTGCTTGAGTCCGTCACGTCTGTCTGTCATGGTACCTCAGTAATGTGTCAGTCATTTCACAGAACAAGCTGGTTTCCAGGTTCTCAGTGCTGTGTGTTGATCTCTTGCAGCTGGAGAACGCCAAGCAGGCGGCGGTGAAGAACAGCGACTTCGCCTCGTCGACGAGAGAAGAGCTGGCGGGAACTAAACTCCGACTGGAGTCTCAGTCGCTGCAGATCAACAACCTGCAGAAACAGGTAATGATCCTATAGCTGGGAACCACCTTAAAAGAGGTTTTTAGTTCAGATTTGGACATTTTAAGCTCATCTACACTAATGTTCAAAAGATTTTTTCCCGGCAAGGATGTTGTAAATTGATCAAAAGTGACAGTAAAGACATATACAGTGGGTACGGAAAGTATTCAGACCCCCTTCAATTTTTCACTCTTTGTTATATTGCAGCCATTTGCTTTAAAGAAGTCTCTTCTGCTCACCAAGCCTGCATTTATTTAATCAAAAATACTGTAAAATTGTGAAATATTATTCTAATTTAAAACAGCTATTTTCTATGTGAGAACTTTCTATTCATCTGTGAATCCTGAAAAATAAAATGTATCAGTTTCCACAAAAATATTCATCAGCACAACTGTTTTCAACATTGTAATAATCAGAAATGTTTCTTGAGCAGCAAATCAGCATATTAGAATGATTTCTGAAGATCATGTGACACTGAAGACTGGAGTAATGATGCTGAAAATACAGCTGCGCATCACAGAAATAAACTAGTTTAACAGATATTCACATAGAAAATGGCTGTTTTAAATTCTAATAATATTTAAAAATAAATGCAGCCTTGGTGCGCAGAAGAGCCTCTTTATTGATTGGAAGCGCTCTTGTCTGTGGCTCAGAATGCGGTTCTGGAGGCTCGTGTTCAGGAGCTGGAGCAGATGCTGGCGCGTGAGCGACAGATGAACCAGCAGCGGCTCTCGCAGAAGGAGCAGGAGATGGCAGACATGCGGCAGCAGATGCAGGAGCAGCTGGAGGAGCACCAGAACCTGCTGGACGTCAAGCTCATGCTGGACATGGAGATCAACGCCTACCGCAAGATGCTGGAGGGAGAGGAGAAGCGGTGAGCCGAACTCTGCAGCGTTTATTACACTCCAAACTATGCTTGTTTTATGTGTTTGCTTGATATTTTTTATTCATTTATTTATTTCACAAAAAAGGGACAGTGTACATTAAAACCTTCATCCGTTCTTCGGGTCATTTTGACCCGAAAAAGATTTTCAAAAAGATTCTAAAAATCGTGTGTTGATCGTACGGTCCAAGATTTCTTTACTTCGTTCACACTTGCACCGGGAATACACCAAAAAAATTGAGTTTAAATTGAATGTAATTGTTATAAATTGAGTTTAAATGAATGTAATAAAAAAAGTAACAAAAGGGTCCCTCGCGGGTCATTTTGACCCGCATAGGAATTAATGGAATTTACGAGAAAAATGCATTTTTCATTGTGTATATATATATATATTTTTTTTATATATACAAAATCTGAGACAATCCAGTAAAGATTTATACCCAAACGAAGGGCTGAGACTACAGAATATCCCCAATGCAGAAAAAACTCTCACACACACACACACACATGGTACACACACTCCCATAGAACACATTATAATATTTTTTATCTTTCTGCTGGGATATGACTGCCATTTTTCCATTTTTTTTTTACTTAAAACAGATTTGAGTGATGTGGTGGAGACCAATGAGTTTATATCATATTTATATTTTTTAAAAATATTTATTTATTTAATATTTATGAAATTGTACGAATATACATATGTTTAGGTTCTAATTCAGTTAGAATGTTTTTTTGTTTTTTTACAAAATATGGATTTTGTAATGTTTCAATATATATTTGAATCCATAAACAACCAAATTGAAGCCTTAAGATGATCTAATTTCTCATGTTTCCCTTGTTTTGCTCCGTTAAAAGTCTCCATAGGGTTCTATAGGCCCCTCTAGTGGCTGTAACCATAAAATGCAATTTTATGTAATTTTCCCCACCAGATGGCATCAGAGACACTCAGTGACTCAATTCCAAGGCCATCTGTTGGTTTTTGATGAAACAGGACTGAAATTGTCTTTATTTGTTTTGTTTTTTGGTGAAATGTACAAAAACTGCTTATTTGCTTATGTGTTCTTAAAAATATCCAGAATAAAAGGTAAATATGATAAAAATCACCAAAAAATAATAGAAAAACCTACATAAAAAATTAGAAAAAAAAATTAGAAAAATGTTCCAATATAAGCTTTCTGGACCAAAAATACAATAGTGTCATTTTTGGCCTTCGGAATAAATCTGCAAAAATGTCAACGATTCTGTGTTTTTCTGTCAATATGGGGTGCTGTGTGTACATTAATGAGGAAAAAAAATTAACTTAAATGATTTTAGCAAATGGCTGTAATATAACAAAGAGTGAAAAATTGAAGGGGGTCTGAATACTTTCCGTACCCACTGTATAATTTCTTCATGAAAAAGAGTAAATGTTAGTTGAGTTATTTCTATTTATTTTATGTATTATTTATAACTACTGTTCAAAAGTTCGGGCTCAGTAATTTAATTTTTTTTTTCTTTTAAGAAATTATTACTTTTATTCAGTAAGGATGCATTACATTTTTCAAAAGTGACAAAGGCATTATTATTTATTCATGAAAAATATAAATGTTAGTGGATATTGAGTTATTTTTAAATATATATATATATATATATGTATGTGTAAAAAACTAGGAATATCCACTAACATGTACATTACTATTTTTAATATTACACTAATAATAATAATACACTACCAGTCAAAAGTTTTTGAACAGTAAGATGTTTTTTAAAGAAGTCTCTTCTGCTCACCAAGCCTGCATTTATTTGATCCAAAATACAGCAAAAA